AACAGCATCGTCATCATCATCATCATCATCATCATCATCATCATCACCATTATCATTATCATTATCATCGTCATCGTCATCGTCATCACCATCATGATCAACGTCATCAGCATCGCCACCATCATCATCGTCATCATCATCACCATCGTCAACGGCGTCATCATCATCATCATCATCATCATCATCATCATCATCGTCATCGTCACCATCGCCATCACCCCCCCAAAATCATCATCAGCAGCATCATCATATTTAACATCGCCATCGTCATCATCGTCAGCAGCATCAAGATCATAAGCAGCAGCATCATCAGCATAGCAACGTCGTCGTCATCACCATCATCAGAATCATTATCATCGCCATCGTCGTCGTCAACACCATCATCAACATCATCATCGCCGGTATCATCATCAGCATCATCATCGTCATCGTCATCATCGTCATCATCATGAGCACCGAAATCATCGTCCGCAGCAGCGTCATCATCATCATCATCCCCATCATCATTATCATTTTCATCCCCATCGTCATCATCATCACCACCATCACAATCATCATCAACGTTATCATCATCACCGTCAGTACCACCATCATCATCATCGTCATCATCATCACCACCGGCATCATCCCATGGTCATCATGGTTATCATCACCAACATCATCATCGAGATAAGCATCGACAGCGTCATCATCGTCATCATCATGAACATCATAATCAGCATCATCATCAGCATTATCATCGTCTACACCATCATCACCATTCAGCATCATCGTCGCCAGCGCCATCAATCGGAATCATTATCAGCATCATCATCGTCATCAGAATCATCATCATCGCGGGCATCATCATCATCATTAGCAGCATCATCAGCATCATCAGCATCATCAGCATCATCATTAGAAGCATCAACAACCTCAGAAGCAGCATCGTCACCATCATCAGAATCACCAGCATCAGCATTGTAAGCATCTTCATCAGCACCATCAGCAACGCCATCATAATCATCATCATCATCATAATCATCATCAGTACCGACAGCATCATCATACTCATCGTCATCGCAAGCATCATCAACATCATCATCATACATCATCAGAATCAGCATCAGCACCATCACCATCACCATGATACTCAGCATAATCATCGTCATCATCAGCATCCCCATCATCATCATCATCACCAGCAGCAGCAGCATCACCATCATCATCGTCGACATCAGTATCCTCGTCATCATCAGCATAAGCATCTTGATCATCATGATCGTCATCAACAAAAGCACAATAAGCATGATTATGAGTAGAAGCATCCGCATAATCATCATCATCGTCACCATCATGAACCGCATCATCAGCATCCTCGTTAGCATCGTCATCAGCATCGTCATCGCAAGCATCACCATCACCTGCATAATCATCAACAGCAGCATCCTTATCGACATCATCATCATCGTCATCATCACAGTCACCATCCCCGTCGTCGTCACCATCATCGTCAGCATCATCGGCATCATCATCGTTATCATCATGGTCGTCATCATCATCATCATCAGCAGCATCGTCATCATCAGCATCGTCAACGTCAGCAACATCAGCATCGTCATCAACATCAGCATCATTATCAGCAGGAACAGCATTATCTTCGCCACCATTATCAGGATCACCAGCAGCTTCATCATCATTCGTGTCATCATCACTAGCAGCATCGACATCACAAGCTTCATCACAATTACGATCATCATCCAAAACATCATCATCATCATCATCATCATCATCATCAACGTCATCATGGTCGCAATCATCGTCATAAGCATCGTCATCGTCAGCATCATCATGATCATCATCACATTCATAAGCATCATCATAACTACCCTCATCATCATCATCATCACAGCCATCGCCATGAAAAGCATCATCACCATCATCTTCAATAGTCAGATTCATCGTTCTCGTCACCATCGTACTCCGCATCGGCATCAGCATCCTCACCATCATCGCCATCATCAGCATCATCAGCATGATCATCCTCCATGATCATCATCATCATCACCAGCATAAGCATCATAGGCGTCAGCATCACCACCATCATCATCGTAATCACTGGCATCATCAGTATCCTCATCATCATCATTGTCACCTTCACCATTACACGCATCATCACTTTTAACATCATCATCTACATCGTCGAAAGAATCACCCTCGTTTTCATCATCATCACCATTATCACCATCATAATCGTCATCGTCATCATCATCGTCATCACCAGCTCTATCATCATAATCATCCTCATCATCAGTATCGTCATCATCATCAGTATCATCATTATCACATTATCTTGATGCGCATCATCTTAATGATCCGCCGCTGCGTCTCTGGGCAGGGAGTGAGCGTATCCTCAAATCCTTTGCCCAATCCCCTGAGCCTCAGTCCCCAGTCCTGAGGGGCTTGAGGGCTGGGACCCCACATTCTCAAATCTTCTTGAACTTGGCGCGTGCCCCGGGGG